ATACACACACACGTGTATGTGTTTGTGAGTATATATATATGTACATACACACACACGTGTATGTGTTTGTGAGTATATATATATGTACATACACACACACGTGTATGTGTTTGTGAGTATATATATATGTACATACACACACACGTGTATGTGTTTGTGAGTATATATATATGTACATACACACACACGTGTATGTGTTTGTGAGTATATATATATGTACATACACACACACGTGTATGTGTTTGTGAGTATATATATGTACATACACACACACGTGTATGTGTTTGTGAGTATATATATTTATTTATATGTACAAATACACATATATGTATGTGGACTGATAGAGGAATAAAGTTCATTGAAAGTAATAATGGTTATTATAAAGATAATGATAATAGTGATTATCTCAATAGATCATGATAATCCATTTTCTAAATTATCATTAGCAATATTTAATCCATATTTTCATTGCAATTCCATCATTACTCTGTTATTGAATTTCCATAGTCTGAATATTTTTCGCTGAATGCACCTAGCTTTCTTCTTACTTTCAGATTTGTCTCTTGCAGTTGTCAGATTATTCTTTTGCTACCTTTAAGCGGGCTAATGTCTGAGTACCTGTAGAAACTTCCTTTACTTATATTTGATATATCTTTTTCACCTCTATCGCTAAACATCAACATAAAAAACTCACATCTCATTGAAATTTCCCTGCGTAATAACAATGAGATTTGGTCTCTTGACTTTTATAAACTGGAATTTGTTGACAAGGTAAGCCGTAAGTGTGTCCTGCATATGACATATTTAACAGTACCCTCTGGCTCATGATTATGCTGTCCTTCGGTCGTGTATATCCCGATTCCTCTAGTCACACAGTCACGCATATTTCTTTTAGTCGAATTTGCCTTTCTGAGCTAATTATGGATACTTACATCAGCCTTACAGCATTTCTACAGTTTGACTGTTGTCTTTCTAGGCTTTCTCGATTTTGGCCCTCAGGTTTGGATTTGTCTCTGTTTCCGGTTGCTACCACTTTTCCTTAACTGTTTCTACCTTTAATCTCCAATAACGACATTAATAACAATTACAATTCTTACTATCCTTATATTCGTTATGTTACCATTTAGAATATCTATACAGATCTTAACGGGCTTCTTCCAATATCATTACTGACACTATTTCTTCGGATGTAAAGATGAAAACTATACAACATAATATTAATTTCATTTATATTGGCAATAATGTTAATGAAAACCATCACAATGAAAAAGATCAGGATGAAAATAGTAGCAAAAGATATGCTTTCTCTGCCTGTATAACCGACATACGCTCATAATCTAAATATTTTCTCTTCTTTTCCCTCAAAAATATCTTTACACTTATTGGAATTGGTATAAAATGATAAGGCGCTATTGATATGCTAGTTTATTAACTTATATTTACATGTTTTATGAACATGAGCTAAACCAAACTGTCTATCCATATTGAGGAGTGGGTGTATAGGGGCCTGGTGTGGCATCACCCTCGTAGGTGACATCGGCCACATAACCGGAGTCGCCGTTGACAGTGTAGGTGACCCTCTGAAGACGACCGTCGGGAAGGAGGACGAAGTAGGAACCCTGAGTGTTAGGGCCATCTCGGGCCTCCTGATGACCGAAGTCGTTGCCAGATGTTGGGTCGTTTACGGCGTAGTTGAAGTCGTACTTGGCCGGCCCTGTAGAGGGCGTTGTGGCCCCATAGCCATAGGACGGTGTGTTTTCAGGTCGGGCGAAGGCAACGGCCAAAAGGGCGGTGAGTATAATTGCCTACAGTATCGGGAAAGATTGGACACAATTGCTGAGAAACATAAAATGTCACGTATATCTTCTCTAACACAGAGAAAATTGTGCAGATTTATTATATGTTTGAAACAAAAAGCGTATAATCACTATAACGTCTTAACCACATTAATCCACCTTTCTGCATCTCACCTGCAGTGTCATGTTGTATGATAATAGTAGAATGTTTGATGCAGTGAGAATGGTTTCATTTGTTTATATAGATGGAGCAAGTAAAGCTCCTCCCTTTTGTGGGTGGAGCGAGATATTACCTTTCCTCTTGATGTTCCAAACCACATAATTTAGAGGCTTAGTTGTAGATTTTTTTTCGCAGTTACACCATCTCTTTTTGTATCAACACACACGCTCGCACACACAGATGTATGTAAAATATGTATATATGTGTATTTGCATACTCGTATTGTATGAATATATATCCATACTTATGTACGTACATACACACATACATATATGTGTGTATATGTATATTTTTATGTGTGCATACATATATATGTATATGTGTGTATATAAAAGCCTAATCACATTGTACATATGTGTATAGATAAATAGGTAGACTGACTAAGAAAAAGGTAAAACACACACACACACCCGTGTGTGTGTGCTTACATCAATTATGTATACATATATTAATATAGATGTGCACATGTGCATACATATGTATATTTATGTATGTATATGTAATTCTCCATATAAAAATGTATACATATTGTATATTATATGTAAAACAGATATCTTGAATATCTCTTCTGAAAAGGAAGAAGAAAGTGCAGCCGTCTTGGACCCTCGAGTAATGGTGACACCAATATGGATAACAAATAACATTGTAATATGGGTAATATAAAAATTAAAGGTAAGGGCAAAATATCTGGAGGATAACTAATTTTAATGATACCACTTATACTATTATTATTAATATTTTCAGCATATCACCATTATAGTTCCATCCTGAACACCATGACTGAATTTCTATACAATGAATATTTTTTTATTAATGGGAATATATTAGACTGAAAATTGTTATTGACACCAAATATGTTTCTGCAGGATATATAAGATGTCATTCATCCGTTTTTTTCAGTTAAGTTTTCTTTTCGTAGTTATTAGATAACACCTTATTGTTAGCTCTAGGCTGTCTACTAGTGTCCCTGTATCTGTAAGAACTACCTTTACATTCATAATCTTAATATTTTTTACTGCTGTGTCTAAACCACAACAAGGAAAAAAGCAGAAGTTCCTGATTTAATAACAATCAGTCCTGGTTTCTTGACTGTTCATGGGAGTGTTCTACCAATGCTGTTTGTAGCAATCCAATAAATGCCATTTCTGACAGGTCTCCATGCCTCATTATTATACCAACAACAACGGAATTATTATTAATTACTATCCCTATTATTATTATTATTATCATGTTCATCGGTACAAGTTGAAAAAGATATCGGAAGTTTCTTCACTGTTTGTATATATAATAACTGACCACATTTCCGTAAAGCTTGGAGTTTATATGTGTAGATATAAACTATATTAAAATGTCATTAATTTGAATTGTATAGATAACAGCAATAATAATGGGAATAATGATTACAGTAGAATATATAATAATGATAAAATAGGAACCATGAAATATGCCACACCGACTTATAAATATATCTTTGCAGTTACTGTAATTTATAAGATGAAATAATAATTTATTTATGTATAATTCATGGACGTTTGTTAAACCAAATTATAACTAAGCATACTTAGAGGCGGGTTTATAGGGACGTGGTGTGGAAGGGTAGTGGGGCTTACCCTCATAGATGACCTCGGCAAAGTAACCAGAATCACCGTTCACATTGTAGTTGACCCTCTGAAGACGACTGTCGGGAAGGAGGATGAAGTTGGAACCCTGAGTGTTGGGGTCATCTCGGGCCTTCTGATGACCGAAGTCGCTACCAAGTTATGTTACCTAGAAATAGTTTTAGCACATTTGCTATATGCTTAAATCTAAAAAGATATTTTTAGATATTTGGATATTTGTCTTCTCGCATCTTACCTGAAGTACCATAATACCTGATAATAGAATAACTGACACAGCGAGAATGTCTCCAATGAAATATTTTCCAAAGTTCTGGAATACATTTTCTTAAAAAATGGAAAAAAGAAGAACAAGAAATGTTTTTTTTTTTTTTTCATTTACATTAACCATTATAATCGTTATTACAATCATCATCACCAAAGTGATAATTATAATAAAATAACAAAATAAGTGTAATGTTAATAATAAAGGTAAATTGTGCTACTGCTATTACATATTATATACAAATTATCTATTGTCATCACTACCACCTTTTAGTTGCTATACATAGAATATTAGTTCGGTGAGGTTTCTACTCTTGATATGGTGACATCACACATTTAATTTTCGTACGTCTCCTTAGTGTATATATAATGATATTCTACCACCCTTTTATTTCGGTCTCTCCTCGTTGTTATGAGGAGGAACTACTTTTACAAGTAGTCCTAGGGATTCTTTATTACCTTTCTCCCTAAATCCTGACATTAAAGCAATATATTCTATCACTACAGCATGCAATGGAAATTTTCCCACGGTTAGTAATAATCAAAGCTCATCCCCCAATATGTGATACTCGGTGTTCTATTGGTGACATTTTCGGCAATACTGCAAATGATCGACCCAATAAGGTACCCCTCAGCTCATAATTAGTATGTCAGCTTGCCTGTTTCTTTTGATGTGGGCTGCTTTACTCGTTTGTCTAATTATGGATACTGTCATCGGGCATTTTGCATATTCTGCAGTTACTGTTCTTTTAGGCTTTATCGATTTTGTTTATTATTTTTTTTTAGTTTCGTCGGTTGTCTCATTTTCTGCATTTCACTATTTCTTAAGTATTTCCATGTCTCACCTCAAACAATTTCATTAAGTTATTGTTACTATCATCATTAATTATCATTATCATATTATTATCAATATTATATTATGATAATCATCAATACTAATTTAAAAGTCTGACTGAGTACCTTACATAACATCTCACTTTTCACGGACAATAATTTTCCTAAAGAAGACAAAAATGATTATAAAAAGGGATACCGCTAATGGTCATAAAAAAACACCAACCCCCACTTCACTTAAATGTTATCATTGTATATAAAACGATGCCATCGATATGCTAGTTTATTAATTTAGATAAACATAAATTATGGACATTATTAAACAAATTATTCTTTCTAAGCATATTGAGGGACGGGTGTATAAGGGCGTTGCGTTGAGGGGTACTGGGCTTCACCCTCGTAGGTAACCTCGGCCACGTATCCAGAATCCCCGTTGACAGTGTAGGTGACCCTCTGAAGACGCCCATCAGGAAGTAGGACAAAGTAGGAACCCTGAGTGTTGGGACCATCTCGGGCCTCCTGATGACCGAAGTCGTTGCCAGATGGTGGGTCGTTGACGGCGTAATTGAAGTCGTATTTGGCAGGTCCTGAAGAGGGCGTTGTAACGCCATAACCATAGGCCGGTATGTTCTGAGGACGGGCGAGGGCAACGGCCACAAGAGCGAGGAGTGCAGTTACCTACAATATCGAGAATGTTTTATCCACGTTAACTATATATATATATATATATATATATATATATATATATATATATATATATGTATATATATTACAAATATGACTTCACACACAATCTAGAATAAGTGCCTACTACTTATGGCTGAGCCTTTAGCAGGAAGCACATCCTTGACACACATAATCACATTCACTACCGCGTAATTTTATCTTCTCGCATCTCACCTTAAATGCCATCGTGTGTTATAATAGAGTATCTGACACAGCGAGTGATTCCATCCGTTTATATACGTGGAGCAGGTAAAGCTCCTCCCTAATGATGAGCATGAAAAGTATTGCTGAAGGCGGAACACTTTAATATTTGTAACCACATTTAATGCATAAATATCTTGTTTTCATTATACATATGGAAAGAAGTTTTAGTTATATGTATATATAAGTGTGTGAATATGATAAACATTGTAAATATGTTATATACATCAAGTATATATATATAAATATATGAACACACATAGATGCATACAGTATATATATATGCATAAATGTATGAATATACAGCTTTAGACTCCCTTTGTTTTCCGCGATCGGCCATCGAAGGATTTAAAGGCCAAAAATACATATACATTATTCCTACAGTGAACGAAGTGATAACAAAAGTAAATACATTAAGATTCATGTATATTTCAGCACATTGGCGTTCTTCAACACACACACACACATATAGTGGACATCATTTTCTGTACATACGTGTGTATACAAATATATATGTTTATGCATATATATATATCTTTCAATGTATATATTACATATACATATATACATACAAACACACGTGTGTGTCTGTGTTTTACATACACATGTATGTGTGTGTATGAAAATAATGAAAATAAGATTTCTTCACAGAAAGTAGGTCTAAATTATGAAGCAGCAACAGTGCTTACAAATATCAAGGTGACCGGTAATACATCGCTCCGCCCACATCACCCTTCGTGTTCATCATTTGGGAGGAGCTTCACATACTTACGCTATATAAACAGATAGAAATGTTCTCACTGCATCACTTATTCTCTGATCACACACCATGGCATTTAAGGTGAGATGCAAGAGGACAGATTTGCTTGTCAAGAATGCGTCATTTGCTTACAATTTAGTCATATATCCAGTTCACTTTTAATCCTCATTAATACGGTAGTGTACTTACTGTAATAACATTCCCGACACTGCAGGTAATTGCACTCGCCACCCTATTGGCCGTTACCCTCGCCCGTCCTCAGAACACACCGGCCTATGGCTATGGCGCCACAACGCCCGCTTCAGGACCTGCCAAGTACGATTTCAACTACGCCGTCAACGACCCACCATCTGGCAACGACTTTGGCCATCAGGAGGCTCGAGATGGCCCTAACACTCAGGGTTCCTATTACGTCCTCCTTCCCGACGGTCGTCTTCAGAGGGTCACCTACACTGTGAACGGTGATTCTGGCTACGTGGCCGAGGTCACCTACGAGGGCGAGGCCCAGTATCCTTCCACACCACGCCCCTATACACCTGCCCCTAAGTATGCTTAAGCGCAATGTTTTAGTAACCACTGTATATATATACTTTATTAAACTTGAACATCGGTGACGTTCTTTAATATCTTTGTATGAATAACTATAATTATCATGTTTTCCTTATCAAACTGGGAGCTTGATATAACACTCACTAAACCTATAAACGAGTTTTTCCTACATTTCACAGTTCTTTTCTGGGGGTGATGGGTACAATCATAATCAGAAAGGGTATATATATAAGGGCTCATCCAATAATATTTAGTATATATAATGAGAACAGATATAAAGTAGAATTAATTTATTGACATACAGACTCTGCTTTATAGTACATATCAGGAAAAGCAACACTTTTCTTAAACTTACAGCTGGAACACTCACTGATATAATCTAATTCTATTTCTTTTCATTTGTGAAGTGCTTTGATATTGCTTGCTATAGCCACATGTCTTTGATGGCAAGATAACCATCGGTAAGAAAATGCAATTAATATAGAGGAACTTACGTCTAAATTTTGATTTTGTGATAAAGTGACATCGTCTAGGTCTGTGGTTCCCAGACTGTTTACACACACGACCCGGTTCTCAAACCTCCACATTCGCGACTCCCTGACATCATCTGGTCCATTTGTGATTTCAGAACTATATGTTTTGCGGAAAGAAAATAATTTTATTTATTTATTTTTTTTTGACATGTAATACAAAACTCCACAGAGACATGGCTCTTTAGTATATTTACCATGAATATACGAAACTCTGGCAAACAGGCATACAATATTTCCTCACAACCCCACAAGGGATAACGACCCACCTATTGCAAACTGCTGTTCTTATAAAAAGCCTGTGACACAGGCTACTGTCTTTAACGAAGCCTGTGAGATGAGGTACTGGCCCTATTCCTCATCAGTGATAAACGGTACTCTGTTGTCACTGTCGCTGTCCTGTTTTCTGAAGTCATTGCCAGATGTCTGACGGTGGATTGATTGATTTATTATTTAAACTTATCTGCCGCGTCAACAGCTAAGGTCATTACCAGAGAATGCCACTAGAGTCATATTTGGAGGGAAAATAGGTAGGTGTGAAAGTAGAATAATGAGAGAGCGAAAGCAATTAAAGGACTGTCAAATTTCTCGGAAGTGATGTCGGTTCCAATACAGCAATACAATAAGCGTATTTGTATAAGACTAAATCACAAAGTTGCCAGTTGAAGGTTCATGTGCATTGCGGTACATATATATAAATATATATACCTACATTTATATGTATATATATATACACATACATGCAAATATATCTATATAATATATAATACATATACACATATATGCATGTATGTATGTTTATATATATGTATATATATACATACATGCATATATATATATATATATATATATATTATATATATACACATATATGCATGTATGTATATATATACATATATAAGCATGCATACCCACCCCCACACACACACACACACATATATATATATATATACATATACATATACACACATATATATGACTGTGTATGTATATATATACACATACATTTATATAATATATACATACATATATACATATAAACGCACACACACATAGATATAGATATATATAGATGCACATATATATGTGTGATTTTGTGTGCATATATATATATATATATATATATATATATATATATATATATGTGTGTGTGTGTGTGTGTGTGTATGTGTTTGTGTGTACGTGTCTATACACACACCTATGAACATATATTTGTTATTTACATGCAGATCTATCTGTATGCATATATATATATATAGAGAGAGAAAGTGTATGTATGCGAGTTTGTATACATCTCTCTCTCTCTACACACACATCAAATCAATTATTTATTTGTGCAATAAAGGCTTAGAAATATCAAGGTGATCATTAATACTCTGCTTCGCCCACAACACTCTTCATGCTCATCTTCAGGGACGAGTTTTATTTGCCCCAAGTATATATATACAGATGGAGTCGCTTGTAATACATCAGACATTCTATCATCACACACCATGACATTTAAGGTGAGATGCCAGAGGAGAGATTCATGTGTGAAGAAAGTGCCTTTTGCATACGCTCTAGTCTTATCACATTTACAAACATTTTTATTCTAAATTATGTCACTGTATTTTCCAATTTAACATTGCTGATATTGCAGGTAACTGCACTCGCCACCCTTGTGGCCGTTGCCCTTGCACGTCCTCAGAACACACCGGCCTATGGCTATGGCGCCACAACGCCCTCGTCAGCACCCGCCAAGTATGACTTCAATTACGCCGTCAACGATCCACCATCTGGCAACGACTTCGGTCATCAGGAGGCCCGAGATGGCTCCAACACTCAGGGTTCGTATTTCGTCCTCCTTCCCGACGGTCGTCTTCAGAGGGTCACTTACAGTGTGAACGGAAATTCTGGCTACGTGGCCGAGGTCACCTACGAAGGTGAGCCCCAGTACCCCTCTACGCAACGTCCTTATACACCCGCCCCTCAGTATGGGTAGATGCATATAATCTATATATTGTTTAATAAACTATCACATCGATGGCGCTCTTTGATATCTTTATAGACATAACTCAGGAAAATGAGATTATTAGTATATGAGCGTTTGTGTGTGCAGCATTGTATCTGTTGTGTATCGTACTCTGAACCCTGAAAATAATACGTCCACAGTCATCATAATAATTATAATCAAGGTTTAAAGATGCAAGGGGGGAGAAGTGGACATGAAAACGAAGTAGTGGTATTGACTGGATAGTGAATTACTAAACACTGGACCTCAAAAGTACTTAAAATACTTAGCAAAGCCAAGAACAAAACAAAACAAAAAAGCTTGATGAATGTATCACCTACTAAGCTAGTTCTAAAAGTCAGCCGAAAAGAAACGAAACAGGCATTATTATAATAAAAAAAGAAAAAACGCAGAGAATCATGTAAGAGACTTGGGTTCTATGTATGTTAAGTAATCGCAGGATCATGAACCCACTCTATTCTTAAAAGTACCATTTGTCCTTTAACTGACATTGCTCAAACCAGAATTGATGTGATTACTGTTAACAAGAAAGTAGAGAAAGTAAAGAAAATGTGGATCTAGCACAACAGATAAAGTTTTTAAATATGAGGGTGGTTGGGCGAGAGGCATACTGCGTAAATATATTTAGAAAAAGCGTATTGAGACCAATGTAAATTAGGAACAGCTGAGTGTAATCTTGTATAGCCTAAGGGGACATTTTGAAATTATGAATTTGCAGTCACTAATTAACTGCAGTAAGATACTGACAAAAGTATAATAGAATGTATCAATAAGAATATCATTGGTAATACTTACACTGCCATCATCAGTATTATTTCTATAAAGGCTAATCTTCATAATCACCATCATCATTATGAGGCATTCATTATGTACAAGAATTCCACTTTACGAATTAGATTAAATAATCAAAATAATAATGTGTCGATGGTATGGAATATAAAAGCTTTTATATACATTTAAAGTTCACACAGAAGGAAAATGACTTGATCTTTGAAATTAATTCCAGTTATAATATTGAAGCCAAAGTGGAATGTCTGATCTTAGAGAACATAAAAGTGATAAAACTTACAGATAGTTGATATTCATGGGCTCCATACAGTGCAATCGGCTCTGAGTCAATAACAGACACTTCGCATTGATGATGATGATGACGAAAATAGTCACATTACTAACAAACAATAATAACAGCAAGGACAACAAAAAGAACGATATCAATTACGATAACATTACAGGTACTTATACAATCCTGAAAAAAAAACAGCAGCAAGAATAAATTTAACAACAGTTATAATAATAAAAAAAAAAAAAAAAAAAAAAAAAAAAAAATATATATATATATATATATATATATATATATATATATATATTGATGATGGTTTTTTCTCCGACTATACAAGTTGATACTCTAGTATTGATACTTGATATTGGTCTAAACATCAACTTCTTAAGTTTCCCTATATGATATCCATGAAACCTGTGAACAGCATGAAAGTTTCAATTACATCTTCAATGACAGTATTATTTTTAGAATGTAGAGTTTGATATTAAACTTTAAAATATAAGCTATACACATATACCAATAGTCACTTCTTTACGTCCTCCATAGAAAGATATCAGAAAACGCCATCGATTTGCTAGTTTATTGAATTATTCATAAATTATAAAATGTGTTCAGTAATACAAAAAGTATCTACGCATAATGAGGGGCGGGTGTATAGGGGCGCGGTGTGGAGGGGTACTGGGCCTCTCCCTCGTATGTGACCTCGGCCAAGTAGCCAGAATCACCGTTGACAGTGTAGGTGACCCTCTGAAGACGACCGTCGGGAAGGAGGACGAAGTAGGAACCCTGAGTGTTGGGGCCATCTCGGGCCTCCTGATGACCGAAGTCGTTGCCAGACGGTGGATCGTTGACGGTGTAACTGAAGTCGTACTTGGCAGGTGCTGATGAGGGAGCTGGTCCATAGCCATAGGATGGTACGTTCTCAGGACTGCCGAGGGTAACGGCCACAAGGGCGACGAGTGCAATTACCTACAATATTGGAAAAGTTTTATCCATGCTATAGGCATTGACAAAGTTTTCAAGTACATAATAATCCATCTAGGATTAGGATCTATATATGATATACGTTTTAAGTAGAAGGCGTGTCCCTAAGTTGTTTAAAATTACTATGTACATTCATCTCGTAGCTCACCTGAAATTCCATGGTGTGTGGCGGTGATCTGACACAGTAAGAGATTCAATTTGCTTATATAGTAAGAGGTAGTAAAGCTCCTCCCTAAAGACTTGTGGGTGGAGCGATGAATCCCCTTCACCTTGGTATTTATAACCACATTTACTGCTTCACAATTTGAAGCTTTAAGAAATATCTTATTTTGATTTCATACACATTAATAAGTTTAGATACACACATATATTACACATGTATGTAATATACATACCTATCCGTAAATTTATATGTACATATATATATATACTCATACAAGTATATATATACATACATACACATTAGTACACATGCATATTTACTATATATTATTCACATATATGTCACATAAAGATATATATTCATATTTCTACTATATATCACACAAACACATACATATATGTGCGTGTAATTTAGGCCAGACTAAGTCTAAATTACAGAAATCAAATCAGAGAAAAATCTATAATACAACATTCCGACAAAACATACCACGGAAGAAAGCAAACAAAACAGATGAGATGGTTTAGCACGTTAAATAAATTTCAAGAAATGTGATAGGCACTCTTCAGATCCCCATTCAGAAAGCCATTACGATTACTCACAGTTATGGACCCGCTAAGTGCAACTATAACTACATCCTCAATAACCCACCGTCTGGTAAAGCTTTCAACCGTCAAGAGGTCCATGGCAGCGTCAAAACAAAGATCCTAATATGTTTAGTTCCGTGATGTTCCGCAGACGGCTGCACTGTCAGCAAGCACTATGGTTATGCGGATGATGTCACTTGCATGGTTGAAGCACAGTACCCCGCCACACAAACCTATTATAAACCTAGCGACCATCCCTTCCTACACCTAGCCGAAGTTACAGTATAAAGGTTAAAACAGATATTAGCAACTTATTTGATTTTATTTCGAAATCCGTACTAACATCCAACATATGAATGAGATTATTTTCTTCCTAATATCAAAACATTAATATGTCGATGGCATGTGATATCAAATCTTTAATACACATTTTAAGTGTACAATGGAATTTTACGAACAAGGTCTTTGGAATTAAATCCAGGCAAAATGAAAGTATACTTAAAGAAAATAGATATTGGATTTTAATGATCATTATATAATTACGGATAGAATGGAGTGATACGGCTCAGTTAATAATAGATGCCTCACAATTAGGATGGTGATGAAGATATTAGTAATACTACAGATAAGCAATAACAGCAAGAACATCAACAAAAATCGATATCAGTGATGAGAACATTAGGGATTCTATTACCAATGGTTTATGATAAAATCAGAACTGATACTCTTTATATTTCTTATATTCTTAAGTGCCACAAATTAACAAATTAATTCGTCGGGATAGCGTCTCCTGCTGTAGGCAATTAGTGAAAGCAAACCTACAATTTCAGTTTTGTTGATTACTGATATTAGTCTCAGTACCTAGTACTTAAAATCCTCTTTTGATATATTTAGGTATTTCGGAATTTCTCAACCTCTACTGCTCAGATTATTACTATATATATGCATATATATACATACACTTAGTTTGTCATATCAAACTTTTCACTTCTGGTTTCAGTTTCTTAAAATGTCTTAAATGAGGGCTAAAAGTAAGCTGCAAATATTAATTTTAAGACATCTTGATTATTATCATTGCTATCCATATCATGATCTTGATTAATCTGGTCATGAAGCATGTGAACTTCAGTAAAAGTATTATTTTTTCAATAAAAAAAAGAAAATAAACACGTTAATACCAGTATCACTTTCCTGAGTTAACTCTATAAAGATATCAAAAAACGCCATAGATGTGCTAGTTTATTAAATTATATATACATCGATTATACAATGTGGCTACTAAAACAAACTGTCTATGTCTATGCATACTGAGGGGCGGGTGTATAGGGGCGTGATGTTGCCTCTCCCTCGTAGGTGACCTCAGCCAAATATCCAGAATCACCGTTCACATTGTAGGTGACCCTCTGAAGCCGACCGTCAGGAAGGAGGACGAAGTAGGAACCCTGAGTATTAGGACCATCTCGGGCCTCCTGATGACCGAAGTCGTTGCCAGACGGTGGGTCGTTGACGGCGTAGTTGAAATCGTACTTGGCAGGTCCTGAAGCGGGCGTCGTGGCGCCATAGCCATAGGCCGGTGTGTACTGGGGACGGGCGAGGGCAACGGCCACAAGGGTGGCGAATGCAATTACCTGCAATATCGGGAATGTTAGAACTGAAAGTACACTGACGAAATTTAGGAAAAAGAAGAAATAAAGATATATGACTAAATCGTAACCTTTACAAATAAATTTGCATTCAGCCATCTTACCTTAAAAGCCATGGTGTGTTATAGTAGAGTTTCTGATGCAGTAAGATCGAATCCATCTGCTTATATAGTTGGAGCAAGCAAAGCTCCTCCCTAATGTGGAACATAAAGTGCTGTGGGAGGAGCGCTGTATTACCGGTCACCTTGATATTTGTAAGCGCTGTGATTGCTTTATAATTTAAGCCCTTACTACACAAAGACGTAACATATGTATATATATATTCATATACACACACATATACATATATACGTAAATATAGTAATATGTGTTTGTGCATACAGACATGATTACACGCAAATCTACAAGTGCATAGCAAAGTTCATTGTTGTTGGAATGTGTGTATATATTTATTTGTTTGAAAATATGGTAATTTATGCCTTAATAAGATAAAAATAATGATAATAGCCCTACAAGTTCAACTGATAATAAAACATAACAGCAGCAAGACTAATAACAAAAAGAAATATTGATTATGAAGGTAGCGTTATTAGTAAATATACAATAGTAATGAATATATTAAAGCATCCATGAAAACATTGATATCGACAATAATAGCTGCAATAAGAATGATACTAATTGTAGAAATATCACCGACTAATGATAAAAATATGGATGCATCTTATCACATTATCTTCAGGCTATCAACACCATTCATTTGCTACAAAGCATTGTTTTTCTCACGACAACTCAAGGAACGTATATTTTACTACAAGTACAGCAAATCCTAAATTTCAAGAGGGCTCCTCAGACTATATATAAGATGACATTGATATATATAAGATGACATTGATAATTGATATAGGTGTCAATATAGACATCGTATTTTTTAGAAATATCATCAGGCCTGGCGCCCAGCTATCCTCACATGTCAAAGGTTCTTTATCTGTTTTGCTAGAACCTTATTTTTTAATTGCTTCCTTTGTTTTGTGGTTATCACATCAATCCTGGTTTCAATCACGTGAACTATCTGCTAATTAAAGGCCAGAGATATCCTACAAATGTTACTTTCAAGAACACGCATTGGTCACAGTCATACGGTAACATGACGTGCATAGACCCCAAATCTCCTGCATAATTCTCTGCGATTTGTTCTTGCTTAATTATGCCTACGTTTTGTTTCCTCTTAGGCCGACTTTCAGTACTGGCTGAGGTGATGTTTTCATCAAACTTGTTTCGCTGGTCTTGCCTTTGACGGAGTTAGATCTGAGTGTTTTTGAGTTTTTTTTTTTTTTTTTTTTTTTTTTTAAGATTCGCGAAGCAGAGCCTCGCCCGGGCTATGCCTATTTGGGGAGCCCGAATTTTTTTGAGGTACGGTGTTGGATACTTTTGCCACTATTTCGTTTCCTCTTCTCCCTGACAACTTTAACGCTTGGTTATTATTAATATTATTATCATTATTATTTTGCGATGCCGAACATAGAAACATACATGCTTACCACAAACACATACGTAATAATCACATTTTCCCGAGTTAATCCTATAAAGATATCAAAGAACGCCATAGTATTTCTGTTACCTTTCAACCTCTCCTCCCTAGCAGCTTCAATGATAGATGATTCTTATTCTTACTGTTATGATTATTTCCATGATTATAAAGTTTCGTTTACATTTTCAGGGGAAGTATGATTTTTTTAAAGCTTAGTTCGATACAATAAAGAAACACAGACACGCAATACTTTCTTGAGTTACCTCTATAAAGATATCAAAGAACGTCATAGATGTGGTAGTTTATTAAACTATATATACACATAGATTATATAATGTGGCTATTAAAACAAACTATCTACGCATACTGAGGGGCGGGTGTATAGGGACGTTGTGTAGTGGAGTATTGGGCCTCACCCTCGTAGGTGACCTCGGCCAAGTAGCCAGAATCACCGTTGACAGTGTAGGTGACCCTCTGAAGACGACCATCGGGAAGGAGGACGAAGTAGGAACCCTGAGTGTTGGGGCCAACTCGGGCTTCCTGATGACCGAAGTCGTTACCAGATGGTGGGTCGTTAACGGCGTAGTTGAAGTCGTACTTGGCAAGTGCTGACGAGGGCGTTGTGGCGCCATAGCCATAGGCCGGTGTATACTGAGGACGGGCAAAGGCAACGACCACAAGGGTGGCGAGTGCAAATACCTGCAATATCGGGAGTGTTATAACAGAAAGTAAGTATATGACTAAATCGTAACCTTTGTACATGAATCTCTCCTCTGGCATCTCACCTTAAATGCCATGGTGTGTTATAGTAAAATTTCTAATGTAGTAAGAGCGATTCCATCTGTTTACATAGTTGCAGTAAGCAAGGCCTCTCCCTAAAGATGTGGGCGGAGCGTTGTATTACCGGTCACCTTGATATTTGTAAGCTCTGGTTGCTTTATAATTTAGGCCCTTATTGCACAAAGAAATAACTTATAAATAATTATATGTAGAAGATATAGTCATATATACCTTACTAAGATGATGATAATTCCACTACTAATAAAATAGTAGCACCAGCAAGATCAATAACATCAAGTAAAATCAAACGGAAATATATTATGATGGCAGCATTATGTGTATTTACACAGTACCACAAAATAGATCAAAGTAACAATGAAAACAATGATATCGCCAACAATAGCTATAAGGAGAATGATACTAATGATAGCGATATTACCACCGACTAATGATATAATTATTAATAAGTTTTATTACATTTCTAAAAATATCAACATAATTGAATTGCTACAAACCATTTTTTTCTCTCAGGTCGACTCAAAGAACATATATATTTTTTTTTACTGGAAGCAATTAGTGACAGCAAATCTTTATCTGTTTTGCTAGAATTAGAAATTTTCACTACTTCTTTTACTTTGCGGTTAACAGCTATCACATCAATCCAGGTCTCTTAATCAAAGGTATCCTACAAATGGTACTTTCGAAAACACACATGGATCACAGTCATACAGTAACATGACATGCATAGACCCCGAATGATTCTCTGTGAATTCTTGCCTGTGTTTTGTTTCCTTTTAGGCTGACTTTCAGACTGGCAGAAGTGATACTCTCATCAGTCTTGTTCGTGTTCTTGAGGTACAGTGTTTAGTACTTGTGTTCATTCGATGCCGTATTTCGTTTACACTTCTACCCTACAGCTACAACGCTTGATTATGATCATTATTATGACGTTTCCATGATTACCAAGTCTGAACTTCACGAAAGTTTCGTTTAAAAGCTCAGAGTTCGATGCAGAACGTAGAAGCATACCTCTACACACAAACACGCACATACCAATCACATTTTCCAGTTATTAAAGGATATCAAAGTAATTTTATTTCATTTCCACCTCCACTAGCTTCAACACTAGATCGTTTCCATGATTATTAAGCCTGTGACCTGCACGAAAATTCGAAATTATCGATTTTTCTTGTTTGATATAAAACAGAAACACTCACAAACACACACATACTAATAATCTCACTTTGCTGAGTTATCAAAGAACGCCATAGATGTGCTAGTTTATTAATATATATATACATAGATTTTACAATGTGGCGACTAAAACAAACTGCATCTACGCATACTGAGGGGCGGGTGTATAGGGGCGTGGTGTGGAGGGGTACTGGGCCTCTCCCTCGTAAGTGACCTCGGCCAAGTAGCCAGAATCACCGTTCACATTGTAGGTGACCCTCTGAAGACGACCGTCGGGAAGGAGGACAAAGTAGGAACCCTGAGTATTAGGGCCATCTCGGGCTTCCTGATGACCGAAGTCGTTGCCAGATGGTGGGTCGTTGACGGCGTAGTTGAAGTCGTACTTGGCAGGTCCTGAAGCGGGCGTTGTGGCGCCATAGCCATAGGCCGGTGTATACTGAGCACGGGCAAAGGCAACGGCCACAAGGGTGGCGAGTGCAAATACCTACAATATCGGGAATGTTATCAAAAAGTACACAGATATGTAAAAATAAATAAATAAATAAAGAGAGAAAGGAAGAAAGAAATAAAAATGTTAATATACTCTGACTACATCATAAACAAAAGACACTTTTTCACACGCAAATTTGTCCTCTAGCATCATACCTTAAATGCCATGGTGTGTGGTAGAATATCTGATGTAGTAAGAGCGATTCCATCCGTTTATATACTTGGAGTAAACAAAGCTCCTCCCTGAAGATGAGAGTGTTGTGGGCGGAGCAGAGTATAAGCGGTCACCTTGATATTTCCAAGTGTTTTTATTGTTTTATACAATAGGTCGTTATTGCACAAAGAAATGTCTCATTTCTTTATATGCGTGTATGTGTGTGCATGTATACAAACTTGTATACACAGGTCCACAAATAGATAACGAAGTTTATTGGGATCACACATACACACTTCCGCGTCAGCAGCTAAGGTCATTAAAGAATAAATATTTTGTGGGATTAATATGTTAAAATATTTAAAACGTAAAAAAAAAAAAAAAAAAAAAAAATCTATCAAGAAATAATGTTATTATAAGTAAAAACAAATAATAACTATTGTATCAAAAATCAAACCACAAATAGTATGTTTTACAAGTATAAAAACATTGCTTAAATACTAAGCATAATCAAATTTAGTTTAAAATATGTCTCCCTAACTTCAAGGAGATTAATAAGACCTATCTTCTTACATGCTGGACATCACTGGAAGTTAATCTTGAACCTCCCTCACCACTGGATTTGATGAGTTCAAGCTCTTGCTTGCAAAGCACTACGAGAGTCGCACTATATTACAACAGAATGGTTCTCAAGATTTCCAGTCATTTTAACTACTGCAAGGATGGCATGCATCTTGAAGAAGATTGAGGCAGCCGAAGAAAGACTGTCAACTTGAGCCTTCCACCTGCTCACTGCTGCAAAGCCCGCACCATTTTCAGATTTCATCTGTATATTTTACATCTAATCCTTGATATTTACAAGTGTTTTGAAGGAATCTCTTTTTTATTTCTTTTTCGGATTTCTCCGACCAAAGTCTACTCGACTAGATTAGTCCTAGGGGGAAACTGGGGAGTTCCAACAGTTAGAACCTTAGAGGTTCAAATTGAGATCCTATTACTATTGGGGGGTTGAAAACTCTAAATAGTAAGTCAGTACTTTAATTTATATTTCGTCACATTATATGATATGTAATGGGTGTAGCTTTACATTTATACCCTGTCGGAACTGTGATACTAAACAGAAAATAATGATAGCCATATATTTACGTCATTCATAAAACTATATTTAAATCATCCATGTACAAATTTATAAGCTATATATACATAAGTAACCTCGGCCAAGTAGCTAGAATCACCGTTCACATTGTAGGTGACCCTCTGAAGCCGATCGTCGCGAAGGAAGACGAAGTGGGAACCCTGATTATTAGGGCCATCTCGGGCCTCCTGATGACCGAAGTCATTGCCAGATGCTGGGTCTTTGAGTTATTATAATTTATAAATTAGTGTGATTCCGTTTGTTACAATGGATTTTCTTGGTGTGAAATAGTCTGTTTCATTTTACAAGGAATGGCCGGGTTACCATCCACTGGCGGCGAGGGATTTGAACGCAGCACCACACAGCACACACAGCGTAGTTGAAGTTGTACTTGGCAAGTGCTGAAGAGGGCGTTGGGTCCCCATAGCTGTTCTGAGGGCGGGCAAGAGCAACGGCCACAAGAACAGTGAGTACAATTACCTGCAATATCGGGAATGTTATAACAGACTTTTCATAGTTACTATGTTATAACAGAAAGTTTTCAAAGTAACTATGTTCAGATACTTTTTCAGTCTTAAAAAAGGTACGGGCTTCGATCTTATTATATTCACTATATTGTAAAGAATTGTGTCTTTACATTTACGCCATGGCAGTCTGAGGCGAGAGGTCTTCCTGAAGTCTGTGAAGTGTACGAATCTCCTTTATATATAATTAACGAGTTGTTTTCAGAGCTCGGTCTTCCATACTTATAGAGACATCACGGATAAAAATACTGGTATTCCCATTTGTATGTCATTTATGTTACGATATCAAAGAATATCTCCAATGTGCTACTTTATTTAACTATATATACACTAAAGCAATCTGTATTTTGGCATACTGAGTGACGGATGTTTACCAAGATGTTCATGCTGTCCACGGATTTATTATGGATTCTGTAGTTTATATTTATATATATTTATAGCAAAATAAAAAATGAACATCTCCCATATAGTACATTATCTCTATTATTTTTTACTAACAAAAAAAAAAAAAAAAAAACGTATCCGAAGTAAGCAATATTAATCCACTTCATAACGGAAACAAAAACAAAGGAATCGGACTATGTAACAATAAGTTCTAGTTATGTGTTTTGCTGATATGTACTAGAAATCCACTTAGTTGTACCATTATATGCATTATATTATCAACGGATGTACCTTTACAATTACACCATCCTACACCCAAAAGAAGGGAGGTCCTGTTGAAGAATTTGAACTTTAAAAATTGTGTTGTTTTTAGAGCTCGCTGCTTGATGTTAAACGGAAAAGGAATATTCCCGTATTTACATTCATACAAAAAATATAACAAAAAAGTCATCGATGCATAAGTTTATTAAAATATATGTACAAAGTTTATTTAGACACTACATTTAACCATACTGAGGGGCGGGTGTATAGGGGCGTGGTGTAGAGGGGTACTGGGCCTCTCCCTCGTAGGTGACCTCGGCCAAATAGCCTGAATCACCGTTCTGTTACAATGGATTTTCCTTGGTGTAAATAGTCTGTTTCATTTTACAAGGAATGGCCGGGTTACCATCCACTGGCGGCGAGGGATTTGAACGCAGCACCACACAGCACACACGGCGTAGTTGAAGTTGGACTTGGCAGGTGCTGAAGAGGGCGTTGGGTCCCCATAGCTGTTCTCAGGGCGGGCAAGAGCAACGGCCACAAGAACAGTGAGTACAATTACCTGCAATATCGGGAATGTTATAACAGACTTTTCATAGTTACTATGTTATAACAGAAAGTTTTCAAAGTAACTATGTTCAGTTACTTTTTCAGTCTTAAAAAAGGTACGCTGGGCTTCGATCTTATTATATACAAGACTAAACCATAAGCAAAAGACGCATTCTTGACATGCGACTCTTGTTGTAATTCACATTAAATGCCATGGTGTGTGATGATGGGAATGTTTTTATTTGTTTATATTTTGTAAGCAGGTACAACTCGTAACTAAAGATACCGGCCACCTTGATAACTGTAAGCACTGTTGCTGCTTCATTACATAGACCCACATTCCAAGAAGATATCTTAATTTCATTAGACACACACGCACGTACACATACACACACACTCGTTCATGGACACACTTTGTGTGTGTGTGTGTATACATATATGAATTCAAAACACACACACACACACACACACACACACACACACACACACACACACACACACACACACACACACACACACACACACACACACACACACACACACACACACACACACACACACACACACACACACACACACACACACACACACACACACACACACACACACACACACACACACACACACACACACACACACACACACACACACACACACACACACACACACACACACACACACACACACACACACACACACACACACACACACACACACACACACACACACACACACACACACACACACACACACACACACACACACACACACACACACACACACACACACACACACACACACACACACACACACACACACACACACACACACACACACACACACACACACACACACACACACACACACACACACACACACACACACACACACACACACACACACACACACACACACACACACACACACACACACACACACACACACACACACACACACACACACACACACACACACACACACACACACACACACACACACACACACACACACACACACACACACACACACACACACACACACACACACACACACACACACACACACACACACACACACACACACACACACACACACACACACACACACACACACACACACACACACACACACACACACACACACACACACACACACACACACACACACACACACACACACACACACACACACACACACACACACACACACACACACACACACACACACACACACACACACACACACACACACACACACACACACACACACACACACACACACACACACACACACACACACACACACACACACACACACACACACACACACACACACACACACACACACACACACACACACACACACACACACACACACACACACACACACACACACACACACACACACACACACACACACACACACACACACACACACACACACACACACACACACACACACACACACACACACACACACACACACACACACACACACACACACACACACACACACACACACACACACACACACACACACACACACACACACACACACACACACACACACACACACACACACACACACACACACACACACACACACACACACACACACACACACACACACACACACACACACACACACACACACACACACACACACACACACACACACACACACACACACACACACACACACACACACACACACACACACACACACACACACACACACACACACACACACACACACACACACACACACACACACACACACACACAGTATGACCGATGTTGTGGGCGGAGTTGTATATTACGGCTAACCTAGATATGTGTAAGCACTGTTACTGCTTCATAATTCAGATCCACAAGCTCACACACACATATATGTACATGCAATACACGCGCATTCCTTAGAACACACACACATACACTTATATATGCAATATATTCATAACTATCTGAATAGATTTATACCCAAATATATATATGGATAAACATATATATGCATACACATATGCACAAAAAAATAAATATATATAATAAATAACGCCAATGTGCTGCATTGTACATAAATCTTCATGTATCAATTTTGTTTAACTCTTCGTATACTGTGGTGTTATTCTTTTAAACTATAAACCCTTCGCACTATTTGCAGGACTATATACAGGAAGC